TCTAGATTTGTTTTTTAGATTTCTTGCATTTTGGTCATGTTAGTGGATATAAATTCTAGGAAAAGTTTGGCTTTCCCCGTCTATATGATGAAATCCAATTATATTTTGAACAAACTGTTGTAATGAAAAACATACTACGAAGCTTTGGCATACAAAAACAATACAATTTCAAAACATCAACCACATAAGATTTTCTTAAATGTAGATGATAATCAATTCATAATGACCTCTAAAACAATCCAAAACTTTCTACCATGTCAAATACGAATAATGGAGGTGAAACAAAATATGAACAGATATTGACATAAAAAATATGCCCTAAGAGCTAAATCTATTAGTCATAAATGTACGTGAAATGTAGCAGAAAACAGAACTTAGGACCTTGATATTTTGGGTAAAAAACGGGATGGTACATATCTTTTTTGAAGCTGCTAATGATGCCTAGGCAATATTAAAGAGGTCTGTGTGTAATCAAAAGAGTGACTAAAAGGTGCATTCAGGTGGAGACCTAAGCCTTGGCCATGTTGTGGTGGTGGTGGTGGAAATGGATGCAAACCTGGCTAAAGGGTGATGCCATAAATAGTGAGAGTAGCTGCAACAAACTGTGCAATCATCTAAGTCATGTTATTCTCCGCCTTTGCCATTTGTGTCACGCCCCAGAACCCAAATCCGAGGCGCGACAGACGCCGTACACTCGTGAGACGGGTCCCACAAATGCACAAGGCTCGGAACTTACTCAACAAAATTAGTTTTGATACCATAAAATTTCCGATTAAAATCTAAATTACAAGAGCGCGGAGTACATGTATCTAAATCTATGTCAAATCTCAAGTGGCTAGCCTTTTATCACGTCACTCCCCTTGATTTCCGAGTCTCGGGGCACACTACCTGAAATGGTGGACGAGAAAAACGAGATGAGATAACTCAGTAAGTAAAATATGAATTGCCCTTAATTAAACTTACAGCATGCCAACAAGTGCAATCACGAAAAACGGATACAGTACAGGCACGAAATAGACGTCTCCTCTATAGGTCACGGCCAGTGTTATAAACCTCCCACTGGCAGGCTACAGAAATTACTAGTGTATAATCCCCACTAGTAGGGCCACGAGCGAACCGGTTCTATCACGAACATGTCGACATGTGCTAGCGTTTATAAACCTCCCACTAGCGGGCACACGAATACATGACCATAT